TTATCGATATGGTTAAACAAAGAAATTCGAAAATAAAAAATGAAAGTATTTTTTTTTTTTATATTTATCAATATAGAAGTGATGATGTACCTGATTAATACAATCGAGTTCGTTACATTCCAGATTCTTGTAAAGTATTGTCTGATCTTTGGAAAATAAATAAAGATTTTGTAAGTTAAATAAAAGTATTGATAAGGATGTATCAAAATCATTGAAAGAATTTCGTTAGATTGATGTTGCACGTTGTTATCGTTCTCCTTATAGAACAAATGGTACTTTATCGATTTTAAATCAAACAGTAGATGATTTAATTCAAATACATGACTTTATTGATTCAAAATGAAAAGGATGGCTTGAACAATTTTAAAAAATGATTGAACAAGCTAGAGATAAACAAGTATTTGCTTATTTATTGATTCATTTTTAATATAAGTCAACTGTTCGTCAAACAATGACTGAACTAAGAGATAATTATGAAAAAGCTCAACGAAAATTAGAAACAGCTGATGCCAATTTAAAAAAAATGTTTTAATGATTTTTTGATTTGTTCTACTTCTCATTTCAAAATATAATGTGCTCCATTGTTTTTTTTTGAATAACTTTTGATAAGAACATCATAGAGATCTTCGGCTTTCACCATTCAAGAGAGATGATCCGAAACCTTCCAAAATTCTCGCCAAGAACTGATCCAATTAGCTAATGAAATTTTGATATATTTCGATTGCTTTGGATCTTCTCTTTTAAATGGTAAAAACCGCAGGTCTCTGTAATATTCCTATCAAAAGTTATTTAAAAAACAACGGAGCACAATATATTTTGAAATGGATAGTAGTTATTATCGTTAAGAAAAGAAGTCAAAAATACTGCATTTCTAAACGTTTTGCTTTCACTTTACTTATTGCAGATAATAAGATCATCTTTCTTATCGTTCAATACGGGTAAGGTAAATGGATATAGTAAAAAATAACTTGTGTTGCTTCATTTTTTTTTGACGAATTTTCTCTTATTTTTTGTTCCTAATACAAACAATTGAATGTCAATTATTATTAGTATAGAATGAGTTTTACTTATTTAGAACTCGACAACAAGATTTCTATGATCAATCATTCATCATCATACAATGATTCACATTATTGGCATGGAAATAATTCAAATTCATATGATTTTTATGGTTCAACATTCATCTCATACACTTTTACAACAAAATGGTTTTATTCAACAAGTTTATCTTAAATATAAACAAGAATGTCTTGATAATAAAAAAAAACGTTGATTGTAGAGGAAAAACAGATTATTAGTTCAGTACATATTTACAATATTTCGAGAGAAACAAGCTACTAGTAAAAAAAAGATTGAAATTATGTTACATTGAACGTATAAAAAACGAGTCTTTTAGTGACTAAAGAAGAATCAACATATCTAAAACCAACAGTGAAAACTGCTCTCCAGCAAAAATCAGAGTCTAAAAAGACTTATATTCTTATTTAAATACACTCTAAAAAAAAAAGGTTTTTCACCGAACCTAAAAAGGATCTTATCCTCGGTACACGGTAAGATCCTTTTTTGGTTTCGTAAAAAATGAGGTTTTGTACTACACCATATCGAGACAACTGAAAGAAAGGTTTCGTACCAATGGTTTTGTATGAAACCATTAATGGAACACTAGACTAAAGGTTTCGCATCACAGGTTTCGTACCAAACCATTCGATGGAAGTAGAAAAAAGGTTCCGTAGAAAAAGTTTCGTGGAAAACCTATACCAGAAAGAGGAAAGAAAGGTTCCGCGCAGATAGTTTTGCACTGAACCTTTAATACAAATACTAACAAAAGGTTTCGTACAAGTTCATCTGTACTACACCCTCTTCTAATTGCCCACCCGGTCAAAAATTTCATTTAACCCTCTGGTTCCGTTCATAGTATGCATGCCATTTCGAGTATTTCTCAAAATACAAGAGTGGTACATATGAAATCAATCAAAAGTAAGTGTAAACAATCTATAGGACCATTTTCCTTTATTTACACAGAAAATTACTCTATAGACTATTTCAATTTCACTTCGATTCATTTGATATATGCTATTCTCGACTTTTCAAAAATACTCGAAATGGTAGGCATACCACGGACGGCGCCAGACGGTTAAAATCAACCCCAATCAAAATTTCCATATTTGAAACAACCTACAATATAGAAACAAATAAATATAAGGAATTTATACAATCAAACTAACCAAATTATTGACATCTTTGCACAAACCTACAATAAAACAAAAAATAATCTTTCATATCTGATAATATGAAACTTACTGAAACATTGATAGACGAATGAACCTATAATAACGAAATTACATACTTCTTTTCATTTAATAAGAAGAAACATACCTAAATGTGCAAATATCCATGAACCTATAATAATAATAAAAATAATTTTTTTGTATCAAATAAGCTGGAACTTACCTAAATGTACACATATCGATGAACCTATAATAAAAAAATCAATAACTTTTTCTATTTGAGAAGATAAAACTTACCTTAAACGTGCATCTAACGATAAACCTAGAATAGAATAAACATAGTTTCTACAATTTCATAAGATGAAACTTACTTTATAGTCTACAGACAGATAAACCTGTAAAAAAAATGAAATAAATCATTTTTAGTTCATAGGATGAAACTTACCTAAACGTGCATATATCGATGAACCTATAATAATAAAATAAATAATTTTTTTCTATTTGAGAAGATAAAACTTACCTGAATATGCACATATCGATCAACCTATAATAATAAATAATTTTTTTGATTTGAGAAGATAAACCTTACCGCAACATGATCATATGAAGAAACCTATAATAATAAAATAAATAACTTTTTGTATTTGAGAAGATAAAACTTACTATAAAACTACGTCTATCGACGAATCTAGAACAGAAAAAAAATAGTTTCCTTAATTTCATAACATGAAACTTACTTTAAAGCCGATAGACAGATAAACCTACAATACAAAAATGAAATGATTCTTTTTATTTCATAGGATGAGACTTGCCTAAACATGCATATATCGATGAACCTGAAATAACAAAAAATAAATAATTTTTTTGTATTTGAGAAGATAAAACTTACCTTAAACGTGCATCTATCGATGAACCTAGAATAGAAAAAAAATAGTTTCTTAAATTTCAATCGATGAAAGTTACTTTAAAGTCCATAGATAGATAAACCTATAATACAAAAATGAAATAATTCTTCTTATTTCACAGGATGAAACTTCCCTAAATGTGCATATATCGATGAACCTATAATAAAAAAATAACTTTTTGTATTTGAGAAGATAAAACTTATCTTAAACGTGCATCGATCGATGAACCTAGAATAGAAAAAGTATGGTTTCTTTAATTTCATAAGATAAATCTTACTTTAAAATCGTTCGATGGATAAACGTTTAATAAAAAAACGAAATAATTCTTTTTATTTCATAGGATGAGACTTACCTAAGCCTGCATATATCGATGAATCTATAATAAAAAAAAAACTTTTTGTATTTGAGAAGATAAAACTTATCTTAAACGTGCATCTATCGATGAACGTATAATAATAAAAGCAATAACTTTTTGTATTTGAGAAGAGAAAACTTATCTTAAACGTGTATCTATCGATGAACCTAGAATAGAAAAAGTATAGTTTCTTTAATTTCATAAGATCAAACTTACTTTGAAGCCGATAGACAGATAAACGTATAATACAAAAATGAAATAATTCTGTTTATTTCATAGGAGGAAATTTACCCAAACGAGCATATACCGATAAACCTATAATAATAAAATAAATAATTTTTTTCTATTTGAGAAGATAAAACTCACCTTAAACGTGCATCTCGCGATGAACCTAGAATGGAAAAACAATAATTTCATTAACTTCATAACATGAAACTTACTTTAAAGTCGTTCGATGGATAAAGGTTTAATAAAAAAATGAAATAGTTCGTTTTATTTCATAGGATGAAACTTACCTATAGGTGCATTTATTGGTGAATCGATAATAATAAAATAAATATTTTTTTTTGTATTTGAGAAGATAATACTTACCTAAACGTAGAGATACCGCGGGAGCTAGAATAGAAAAAGAAATAATTTCTTTTATTAAATAAGATGAAACTTATCTAAACTTGCATTTGTCGGTGAACCTATAATAATAAAATAAATAATTTTTTGGTATTTGAGAAGATAAAACTTATGGAAACGTGCAGATATCGATGAACTTATAATAAAAAAGATAAGCAATGTTTTTTTATTTGAGAACATGAAAGTTACATTAATGTACATATTTGGATGAGCCTATAATATAAAAATAAATAGTTGTATTTGATAAGGTGAAACTTACTGGAAATTGCAGAGATGAGTATTTCGAACAGATATATATTAGTGAGTTAATTTTTTTTATAAGATCGATGGCTCGTGTCATATAGGTATGTAAATCGACCTGTAGGTGAAAATGGACAACTTTATTTGATTTGTTTGTATTTTATGATTTCAAACTTACTATTGATTTGTATATTTTTATTAATGTATGATGGAAAAAAATTGTGTTTGCAGCAATAAGAATATTTGCGCGATCGCTGTCACAATGAGTTTAATATGAAAAGAATACATTGAAATTTTTTTGAAATTTAATACCTATAAGTGATTCAAAAAATTGAGAGAATGTGCTCTCTTACATAGGCTTGATGGATTGAATGCATGAGTGAGCGGATCAGATTGACGAACTGTGTCTTTCATGAATGTGTACTACTGTTTTTTCAACTTTTCACTCATTGATTTGATGTATGGAAGGCAGATCGTTTTAGAAAATATTCTTTAAAAATGATAAAATTCTCCTCTTCTTTTGACATCATGTGAAAATGTAAAGAAAAAGTAAAGTATAAAATCAATAGCAAACCATAGAAAACATGATAACGTACACAGAGGAGGAAGAAAACAAAAAAAAAAATTTAGTCTTTTTAATAAAGTTTATTCAATTCGAATTCGTTTAGCTGCAAGTCGTGTTGACTGTTTTGATATTGTTGTGATGGATGAAGAGGAAGTTTGATGTTGTTTACGTTTTCGTTTATTAGCTGCTGAATGAGATTCTTTGACTTCTATATATCTATGTGGTTCATCTTTGTACTGCAGTTTTGATGAGGATTTATAAGAAGGATAGAATCTGTTTGTTTTCTGTGAATGTAAATTGTTGGAATGATCATCGATGGTAATTGATGATGGTGTTTGATTTTGAAAGATCACTGGTGAGCTACACTGAGACATAGAAACTGGAGAAGCTATTGATAATTGATTAAGATCTTCTTCATCATTAGAATTTGATAGTTGATTAAGATCATCATCATTTTGTTCATTAAGATATTGTTGATCAATATTGGTTGACCTAGTCAAATTTAAATAAGACGAAGAATATTGATCTTGTTCAATTTGTTCAAGTGATTCATCAACAATCTAAAACAATATCAAAAGTAAACCTTTATCATGCGTTGTGGTAGAAAACAACAGGAACTTTAAATATCGATTATTCATTTTATAATGAAACAACTCAACTAACTGTTCTTATTGTATTTCTATAAAGCTCAGAAACAACTTCAGTAGTGTTTTATAAAAATATAGTACTCTCTATAGATTGTGAAAGAGAAAGAATATTGAAAAAATTACTTTTGACACTTCTAGCAGGTAATTAGAAATGTAGAGATATAAAAATACGATCTTAAAATTTTTTTTTACCATCAAATTAGATTAAGAGACTTACTTGATTTGAATTATTAGATGAAGATGAGTTGTTTTTGTTCACGATTGATGGTTGAGTAGAATTTTCGATCAGATTTGTAATCATTGCTTGTCGTTTCATCAATGGTCGATTAGCAATTTTATATTGCCAGTTATTGAGCAAGTTTTTGAGTGCCTTATTGAGATAATGTGAATCTTCAAATAATATACCATAAAGAAGACGACATGTTCGATTATGTAAACCAAATCGAATTTCAAAAACATAGTACAACGATACGAGAAGAGCAACAGCTGTGGAACTTGAAGTAGTTTCTGTTATTAAACAAAAGTCCAAGTAAAGCTCAAATCGATCTTCATAAATTTTCATACATGGATACGGTACAAGTACATCCTATGTATAAAGTTGAAAAAACATATTTTATACTGAAAAGATGAAGACACAGTTACTTCATGGGTAAATATATTACCAACGGGATCACCAAAAAATTTACATAGAATACGAATAATACGAATAGGTAATACATCTAGAACGAAAAAAATTGATATTTTAACGTTCTTGGAAAATTTATTTATTCTCCTTAAAAATAAATACATGAATGAGAATCGCTCAAGTTCGTATATAACGGGTGATGCAAAAGTTCCTGAAAAAATGTCAGACTCCGCTGGATTTGAACAGAAAATGATAGAAAACTCATTCTTTTTTTTGTTAGAGAGAGCGTGGCTTCTACTCTAAAAAGACATGTTTCGCAGACTACTATTTATATACTAGTAGCCAAATCAATTCGATTTTTCTAAAACTGCTAAAAAATGTTCTGTAAATTTTTGCAATTTTGCTATTGATTTTTTCGAAAAAAAATTAAATATCTCGCTTTACATACCAAATTTTTAACTGCTTTTTACAGCTTATATATAAATTGATATAAGCTTTTGCCACACATACAAGTCATTGTAAAACTTGGTTGTTATGATTCACTGTTAATAGGAAAAAGCAAATTTTCACTTTTTTGGAAATTCGTATATATGTATTGTTCAAAAACCATATTGCGTTATATATCCTTTTTCATAAGCAATTAAAACAAGATAAACTACACCAGATCGAGCTTTTCCAGAACTACAATAATATGTACAAAAATCTTATCAAACTCACTGTCCTAAGCTAATTATATATATGAAACTGTAAAACTTACTGTTATAGAATATTTCGCCACTTATGTCAACACACTTTTAAGAAACTGAATCTCAGTGAAGAAAAATCCGTTTGAACAGAATTTTGTTCTCTAAATGCTCTTTAAAGAACCACACAACATAGAAGCAATTTTAGCTCACAAGCACATGTCTTTATTGAAATATACAATGTGATTACTCTTAGATTGGTTTACAGCCTTCTTTTTAGGAGGTTTATAAGAACTGAATGAAATTTGGTACCAGTGTATGAATATAA